CGGCCCCGCGGCCTCCCCGCCCGGCGCGGCCTCCCTCCCCGCCCGGCGCGGCCTGCCTCCCCGCCGCCGCTCCGGCCCGGGCCCGCCATGGCGCTCAACAATTTCCTTTTCGCGCAGTGCGCCTGCTACTTCCTGGCCTTCCTGTTCAGCTTCGTGGTGGTGGTGCCGCTGTCCGAGAACGGCCACGACTTCCGCGGCCGCTGCCTGCTCTTCACCGAGGGCATGTGGCTGAGCGCCAACCTCACGGTGCAGGAGCGCGAGCGCTTCACGGTGCAGGAGTGGGGCCCGCCGGCCGCCTGCCGCTTCAGCCTGCTCGCCAGCCTCCTGTCGCTGCTGCTGGCCGCCGCGCACGCCTGGCGCACGCTCTTCTTCCTCTGCAAGGGACACGAGGGGTAAGTGGGGGCCTCTCCCGGCGCGGCGCCCCTTCCGTGCCCACGGCGCCCCCAGGCCCGCCTCCCCACGGAGGCGCGCGAGTCCCTCCGTCTCTGCCGCAGCTCCGAGGCCCGCAAATGTCAACACTTGGCCCTCACCCCCTCCACCCAGACGCCGTTTGTCTACACACACATCCGGGACCGTGACGACCACCGGTCCTGCGCGCCTCCCCTCCCCAGGTGCGCGTCGCCTCCCGCTTCCAGGCTTCATCCCCCTAGACTGCAGATGTTGCACCGTCATCACCGAGCAGGCCAGGAACTCCCCGGGCGGGCTCAGCCAGGCCACACTCGCCAGGACCGGGGATAGCTCTCCGCCTGCTCTAGGGCCTGCGCTGGGCTCTCCCGGCCCCAGTGACCAGGCGTACTGCGGAACCCCACCCGGCACCATCCCCTCCTCTCCGGGAAAAGGACGGCAGATGGCTGCATGGCGGGGAGCCCCCCAGGCCCACCTCTGGAGCTCAGGCCTGGGCTGGGGAATGCAAGAGGGATGGCAGGGCGAGGGGTGTTCCTTTGTGGGCTCAGCGCCTTCCCTCCTCCTGGCCTCCATTTTCCTCTTAGTCTCTCCTGCTCCCGCAGGATACTGGCGCGCACACAACTTGGTTCACCTGGGGTGCGGTGGCACCCTCAATCAGTGGCACCCTGGGGGCCCTCCCACTCCCTCTGTAAAGGCCCTTTGCAGGCCCACCCACTTCCTCTCCAGGTGTCCTCCGTGAGCCCACCCACTCCCTCCGTGGGCCCTCCCACTCCCCGGCTGAGGCCCGGGGTGCCCAGGAGCAGCCCGAGATCCTGGCGCGGTTCAGGGAGGGCACTCATGAATCCCAGGCCCCTCCCAAACCTGGCCCCACCCCCGTCCTTTGATTTGATTTTCACTCCCTGCAGGCTGGTGGGAGGTTAGAAGGGCTCAGAGGGGTGCGGGTGGCACGGGTGGGGAGGCCCTCCTGTTGCCCAGCCCCTGTGAGCCCACGGCTTGGCTGTGGCTGAGAGAGGGGCCAGACAGAGGAAGAAGAGGGGCTCCAGGGAGAAGGGAGGGAGCCAGGGCTGTGCCCCGTGGGGCTGTGAAATCTGGGGGAGGGCTGAGAATCCCAGCGGCTGGGGGTAGGAGCGCCCTGGGGCTGCTACAGCAGTTCCACCAGATGGACTCCAACCCACTTGTTCCGCCACTCTCTGCCTCTGTCCTCACAGGGCGTCTCTCTCTGCTTCTCTGCCCTCTCCTCTTTTTACAGGACACCAGTCACTGGATTCAGGGCCTGCTCTGGCTCGGGGAGATCTCATCCTGAGAGCCAGAGCTTAAAACACCTGCAAAGACGATATTTCCAACTCAAGTCACAATCACGGGTGCCAGGGCGGGACTTGGGCATGTCTTTTGGGGACACCAGTCAGCCCCAACACTGAGGTTCTGGATGGTGGTCAGTAGGAAGCTGGCTGTCAGCCTGGGAGGCCCCAGGAGCTGTGGGACCATGGGCCCAAATTCCAGGGTGCGTGGCTGGAGGCCTGCTCAGGGTGGGCTCAGGCCGGGCGCAGGGTGGTGTCCTGCCCATCTGCAGCTGTCCTCCGTCCCTTAGCTCACTCCAGGGCTGGTGTCCCTAGGAGAGGCTTGAGGTGTCATCTGCACCCACAGTGCCAAACCTGAGTGTCTCCCAGTCATGCTGTGTGTGCAGGGCAGGCAGATGGAAGCCTCCCTGAATGCGACATGGTGTGAAAGAGAGTGGGACAGCCAGAGAGTGGGGTCAGCCTCCCAAGGCTTGAGGTCCCTTTAGCCTGGAAGGCTGAGGATGGAGGGTGCAAGCCACGTGGGGCTACGGGTTGGCTCATTGCTCATGCACGTCTTCCCCGCCTCCTGGGTGTCCCTCAGGGCGCTCGTGGTCCAGCTGGGGCTGACAGAGGGTGGCTCTCTAGATAGGACCCAGCTGTGGTCAGAGTGATGCCGCATTTCATTGGGGGTTCCACCAGAGGCTGGGGGACAGGGAGAGGGGAGAAAGAGCCCCAGAGCAGGGCGTGGTCTGTTTTGCACACACAGGGCAGCAGACCTGGGGCTGCTGGACCCGAGGCTCTGCCTCTCCTGTCTCACGGAAGGTGTCTATCTGTCAGCCCGGGCAAACCACCGGCGCCATGTCCTTCCAAAGACAGAAAACGGACTCCCGGGGAGTCTGCAGGCCTTCCGGAACTCTCCCCGGCACTCTTCGAGGTGTTCTGTCCTCCTAAGGGGCGGAGCCAGATCCTGCTGTGGGGCCTCTGCTGCAGCCCCACTGACCAGCCCATATGGGATTTAGGAAGCCTTAGATGACTTGGTGTGCTCAGGGCCTGTGGGGGTTAGGCTGAGGGTTGGGGTGAAGGTTGGGGTGAGGGTTAGGGTGAGGGTTGGGGTGAGGGTTAGGCTGAGGGTTGGGGTTGTCGGGGAGGGGGAACTACATTGTGGCGGCTCACCATGGCCTTCATCCCACCAGAGGCCAGGTCTGGGCAGCTCCTGCTCTCAGGGCATGGGTCTGGTGGTAGAGCACTTCGGGGGTCAGTCCCTTTGCTTTAGTTGAGGGGCCTAGCGGTCCTCCCACCACTGACCTCTGCCCAGCCTGCTCTTCTCCAGGGGCATCTGGCACTCACATCCGTCTTGACCATCATGAAGTGGGGCTAAGGTCATGTGGTCATGTGGCCACCTGTCCCCCACCTCATGCATCACACAGTCCACTGGCAGATGGTTCGTGCCAGGACATCTGTCGAAGTGTCAGTGCTCCATGGAGCTCTGCTGGTAGGCCTAGGTTAACATTCTCAGGAGCCATTTCAGGCCCTGGGTACTCACCCTAGGGGACCCACAGCCGGGTGAAGCCGAGGCGGGCATGCACCTTCTTCATCTCTGTGTCCTCAGGGCTGAGCACAGGGGATGCTGCATAGGAGTCACCACATAATGTTTGTTGAGTGACTGATAGAAAGATGCCTGGGTCCTGAGGCCTGCTGCCTTGTGGTCACTCACCTGGCCCTGATACCTGTGCAGGCTCAGTTATGTGGCCAACAGGTCCACCCTTCAGACTTGTCATGTCAGAAGGTTCGGGACCTCTGGGAAGACGGGGTCTGCGGGTCCAGTGATAGAGCAGCCAATTCCAACTCAGCTGTTGCTCCCGCTGCATAGACCAGGCGAGCAAGTGCCGGTCGGCAGAGGGGACTCAGGACAGCCAAGGGGCCGAGACAGGCCTCTGCAGGGAGCTCGTGTGGTGGACAGGACTCTCAGGGCCGTCGACGGCCACTGGACGTCCAGCCCACGGAGGACACGGCTGACCCCATCAGACTCTGGCCGTTAGAGGGCAGGGCCTGGTTAGGGCGGCACACCCTCTAATCCTCTAGTGGACTCCACCTCCAGAGGCCACCAGCTGCTCTCCCCAGTGCAAGGGCAGAGCCTGCTTGAGGTCTGTTTGAGGGGCGCACGGCAGGTCCAGAGCTTGCGGAGCAGATGCCATGTCTGAGGTGCCAGCTTCTTCATATGGGGGTGTCTGCTGTGCAAAGTGTGGGCCCTGAGAGCTCGTGCCCAGAAGTGTGAAAATTAGTCTGGGAGGCGGTAGCTTTTTGCAGAGGAGTGTCATCTTCATGCTCCACTCTTGGCTGCTGAATGGATGAGTGAATGAATGAATGTGTTTCAGGAGGGTTGCCATTTTGGGGCAGAAGGGTTTGCTGAGGCAGCCGTGTCCCGGGCAGGTGTGCTGTGAGGGAGCATTGAGCACGTAGGCTGGCAGCAGTTTGTGATTGGCGGGCCAGGGGGTGCTGCGTTAAACCTGTCTGCCCGCCTGCGCCAGCGGCCCAGCCTCACATTGCTGGGCTTTCCAGGACAGCGGTCACCATGGAGATGGCACATCCTGGCAGGGCACCCTGAGTGGCAGTGAACAGAGATGGGTTAACCCTGTGTGTGCTGGGCTCCTGTCCCTGATGGCTGTCCTGGCCTGGCCTGGCCTTGGTGAGGGCGGGGCTGGGTGACCCTGTGACCTCTGGAGAGCTGGATCCAGGGGAGGCTCTGGACACATCCAGTTCTTCCACGACCCGGAGAGCCTGGGCAGGTTCCCTGGAAACTGACCAGAGAGGGATGAGAGGAGCAGACAGCCTGTCAGCCCGTGGCCGCTGCAGCCTGGTGGCCCTTCCCCATATCGTGGGGAGCTCCTTGCTCTGCTCAGGGGAGAAGACTCTGAAATCATGCCCATTTCATAGGGATGTGGCTGGATGTCTCAAGTCTCCAGATAATTGGATTTTCTGTCTTTTGGAGGCTGTGTCGTGGCATATCTTCAGAGGTGGGAAAGGGCAGCGCGTTGCCTGGGCCCGGACCTCTGTCGCGTCTCAGATGAGCTGGGCAGGTATTTGCAGGCACCGGGGGCTTCTGGGGAGACCCTGCCCTTAGGGAGTCTGGCCACGTAGGGAAGCTTAGGCTGTGCACGTGCCTGTCTAGAATTCGGTGTGGAGGGTGCTGCCCACCCTCCCGAGGGGCATTGGGAGGTGGCACTGGGTCATGAGCCCTAGCCCGGCCTCACTGCACTGTGGTCAGCCTGGCCCTCCAGGGAGGCCTCGGGGACCAGCTGTCAGGGAAGCCCAGGAATGCCAGGTGCTGGAGGGTGCCCCTGCTGGACTGGACTGGGTCCCTGGGAGGAACGCAGGAGGGCTGTCCGGCAGGTGTAGGGGTGGATGTGCCCTGTGGGAGCCTGGCAAGGGGCTGTCCCATGCCCCCACTCCAGCACTGTCTGGCAGGCCGGGTTTGGTGCCGAGCAGCTTCCTCGCCTCTGCCCGTGGAGCCGACCCTAGCCATGCCTCGCCACCTTGCTGGGGAGGAGCCGCTGGTCCAAGACTGCAGAGGTGGGGTGGTCTTACTGTGCCCCACTCTGTGACTATAGTCCCTGGGCCCCTCATGCATACTCCCAGGCCAGATGGATTTTGGGGTTCAGAACTGCATCCTCAGGGTCCCAGCAGCAGCAAATGGCTCACCAGAGGAAGGGTGAGTGAAGGAGGGCTGGTTTGGGGCTCCTGAGGTCAGTGGAGGCAGTGCTGTCCCTGCCTTGGCTAATGGGACCTGGAGGGGAGGGCCATGTGGAAGAGGCCACCTGGATAGCAGCAGTGACTTTCAGTAGAGGGAGCTGGTGGCAAACTCCCACCTTGCTCCCCTGCCCTCCCACCCCATTGCCCAAACCCAGCCAGAAGCCAGAGGGCACGGGGTCATTGCCATGGTCCACACTGTCAGCCTCCAGACAGAGAATGGAGAGGGGGATGCACTCTGCAGGGCAGGCGGGAGACGCTGGCACGTGGATGATCTGGGCTTGAGCAGGGCAGAGGGAGCCAGTCCCGGGTGTGCCGGCTCTGAGACTCACATCACACGGGGCTGGGGAGGTACTGAGAACAGCCCCACGCCCATCCCGGCGAACTTCTGCCGAGGCTCTTTCCCTCTTTAGAGAGCTTTGGATGGGGGTTGTCAACTGCCACATGGTGCCCACCTGCCAGCCATCTTTGGCTGTAAGGCCTGGGCAGAAGCTTGGTCACCCCCCACGAATACGCGTGTGAGTCTGGCTGGTCCTGCCCTCTTTGCTGTGATTGTTGGGATCGTAGCCCGTGGCTTTAAGAGTGTCCCTGTGTCCTCTCCCCTTGTCTGGGACTCCTTGGGGTGGTTCAAGCCCTCCCGTTGCTGGGGGCGGTTCTGTTGTCAGCCCTGCAGTCACCAAAACAGTGTGGCCGGAGCTGGAGCCAGTGGCTGGGTTCCTTGGAGGCATGAGATGTTGGGGGAGCCGCCTGCGCTGAATTGGGCGCGGTGGCCTGGCTTCATCCTCAGCACATTCGCTGCGGCACCCCCGGGGCCAGGACTTCGTCTTTTGCACCACTCTGCCCTCTGCGCCCAGCACAGGGTGAGCAGGTGTTTAGAAAGTGCCTGCTGGATGAATGAATGAGTGAATGAATGAACAGACAGCGTGCTGGCCTCTGCTTTGCCTCATCAGCAGCTGCCGAGTTCGGATGGCAGTGGCGTTGATGTTTTCTTGGCTGAGATTCCAGGGAGACCTTGTTTATGAAATGATCCCTGTGAAGCGATTTCCATGGGTTGCCTCCCTGAGATCCAGTGTGCTCACAGCCGCAGGCTACCACGGAGCCTGCTGGCCGGTGAGAGGCGGGAGCAGCCCTTTCTCAGACATGCTGCTTGAGCAGGTGTGCTCCTGTGAGGAAGTCCCTCTCGGGGTCCCACTGGAGGGACAGTCCCTCTCCCTGCCCCCAGGAGCCTTAGGGTGCATTCCAGGCTGATGCCACCCCAGGCTCATTCCAGGGACTTCGAATCTTGATGGAGCAATTCAGAGAAAGTGGACGTTTGCAGGCCAGGCAGGAGGGTGGGGTGGGGTGGGTGTCCTGACCACACGCCCCGTATCCTCAGAAGAGGAAACGTCCTTCTGAAGGCCATGGCCGAGTGCACCCTGGCAGAGGCCTCCGGCCCCTGGGGCAGGGTAGCCCCACCCTAAGTCAGCTCCTTCCTCATGGCCCTGCCTCCTGCGCTCCCTGCGCTCCCGCCCTCGTCAGATGGGCCCATCAAGCCAGTCCTCCTGGGGTCCAGGCCATGCGCGGATGGCCTGCGGGTGAATGGAGGCGCTCAGCACTGCAGACTGGGCTCGAGAACTACCTGCACTTATGGCTCACACTCTGGAGGCTGGGTGTCTGGGATCCAGGCACCTTGGGTTCCGTGCCTGCTGAGGGCCCGTTCCTCTTGCTGTGTGTTTGTGTGCTGGGAGGAGTGAGGGAATTCCGTGGGGTCTCTCCTACGAGGGCACTCATTTCATTCATGAGGCTTCATTGTTAGGACCTCCTCTCCTCCCAGAGGCCCCACTTTCCAACCCCTCAGCGGACGCCAGCACGCGGATCTGGGGACAAGCACCTGGAGCCCAGCTGCAGGCTACTGGGGTGGGCGGCGTTGGAAGGGTGTCATGCATTCCCACCGTGGGTGCAGCCTCTTCTGTGAAATGGTGGGGACCAGGGTTTCAGGTCCCGGGTCTGTGGGATGGTGTGACCCACAGTCCAGGGTGGGCACTTGGAGCTGCCCGAGGGACTGCAGGACGAGGGAGCAACCCCTCGAGGCCCCACAGGGCCCCACCCAGGAATCCTGAGGGTCTGGCGGGCACTGCTGGTGGGGGTCACCGGGAGGTGCCGTCCAATGACCCTGCCCCTCCTGTCTCCGGCTGCAGCTCCTTCTTCTCCGCCTTCCTGAACCTCCTGGTCAGCGCCTTCGTGGTCTTCCTGGTCTTCATTGCCAGCACCATCGTGAGTGTGGGCTTTACCATGTGGTGTGACGCCATCACTGAGAAGGGCACCGTGCCCCACAGGTGCGCCTGCCCCACCTGCCCGGCCTCCACCTGCCTCCTGGAAGGTCCCTTGGCACCCTGCCTGGCTCTGGGCGGCCTTCCCTCATGAAGCCCATCCTGCGTCTGCCGTCCCTGGTCCCACGATGCCCGTGCCTGTGCACAGCGGGGATGCCCCTTCCCTAAGACCTGGCCCCCAGCGTCAGACACCATCCCGCTCTAGGAGCTAGCAGCTTCACACCTCACCCACAAGCGGTGATCCTGGGGGCTGGATGTGGCTGGGGGTGGCTCCAGGGGGTCAGAGATTCCTGCTGTCCCGTCCTTGCCACCAGGGCTCGGATGACAGATGGCTTGCAGTGGGGCCCCAGGTCCTGGGAGGCTCGATGCAGCCGAACAGCCGGAGACCTGGGGCGTCTTTCCTGCGCTGGCTGCATGGGAGAGCATTTGGGTCCGGGCTCTGGTCCCCATGGTGTGGGGTTGGAAGGTGGAGGGGACGGGGATGGTGAAGAACAGGAGCAGAAGGAGCTTCTGATAGGGTGAGGGCCAGCTCCCAGGCAGGTTGGGGATGGAGACCTTTGAGCCATGGTGGTCCCTCTGGGCTCTTAGCAGGGGCATCTCTGGCTTGTGGGGGCCCCAGAGTGGAGCACGGTGACTCTCTGCCCCCTATGGTAGGATGCCCAGCCCTGAGGGGCACCATCCTGTACCCCAGGCCAAGACCCTGGAAGACAGGAACGCTCAGCCACCCCTTCCAGAGGCTCCACATTCTTCCTTTAAGCAACTCAGACCTGAAACCCCAGAGTCTGCAGCAGATGGTGGCAGAGCTGAGGGGCTCCCTGCCTGCCTGTTGCGAGCCTCACGCGGGTCCCTGGGGCACAGACCGGAGGAAGGCGTGAGCAGTGTGTGTGTGGCCCTGCAGGGCCTCCCGCGCTGAGCTGTGCCCCATCCTGCTGTCCCAGCTCCAACTACCAGCCTGGCCACCTGCTTCCCAAGAGTGTGGGTAACCCCTGGTACACACTCAAAGTTCCCTTGCCCTCACGGACGCCATTTCTAGCGCTTCGTTCCCTCCAGGGCGTGTGGGGCCGCTGGGCCCCTCTCCCTCTGGTGCCCTGCCCCTCAATCTGCCCTGGCTTCACGTTTCATGTTGTGGGCAGGACACCTACTGGGAGCCGAGCCTGGCTCACTCCCGGGCCCTCTGACCCCACGGCCTCTGCAGATGCCCCCGTGATGGGGCAGAGCCTCTGGGCACCGTTGGTGGGGATGCCACCTCCATCTCTGTCTGGCTGAGGCAGCCCTGCATCTCCTGCCTCTGAGACCCTGTGACCCTCAGAGGGTGGGGCGTGGGGGTCAGAGGGTCCAGGAGAGCAGAGGCCTAGCTGGCATCTTCCAGCCGTCCAGGGCCAGGATGGGGAGGGGCCTGCAGGTTTCCTTCCCTGAAGGCTGTCCTGCTCCATGGGGGAGGCCTCGAGGCCGACCCCCCGTGGTGTCCCCAGAGACCCCAGCCGCCCCCCAGCCATGGCGGGGCAAAGCTTGTGGCTCTCCGGCCAGCAGCTCGGCCATGCCCCACACCGGCTGGCCTGGCGGTCCCCTTCCACCCTGTGTCCTGCTGTTTCAGCTGTGAAGAGCTCCAGGACCTCAACTTGGAGCTGGGCGTGGACAACTCTGCCTTCTATGATCAGTTTGCCATTGCCCAGGTAGGGGCTCCGGGTGGGAAGGGAGGCTTGCAACGCCGGGAGAGGCATTTACTGCTGCACATTCGCTGAGCTCCCCATATCCAGAGGAGGAGGGCCCTGTGCAGATGAGGTAGTTAGTGGGGGCCAGGCAGTGGGCCGCCATGTCTGCATTTCAGCAAATAGGGTCCCTCAGAGTGGGGGCCACCACGGCCCCCCACCAAGGCTCCTAGGGGACAGGGGACACAACTTATACAAGGACAGCGTGGCAAATCTTCCGAGTTCACAGGCGGGATCCCCCGCCCCCTTCCTTGGACACTGTGTCGGCTTCCCTCTGGCTAGGGGACGTCCCTAGGCCTCCAGCAGTGATCTGGACAGGCCCACCCAGTGCCAGCACCAAAGCCCAAAGGCCCAGCTCTCCCCCACCTCTTGCAGGAAGCCTTCCTGCCTGCGCCCACTGTCTGGGCCGGTGGCCAACTACAGTGAGGGCTGGGGTACCCTGGAATTGGGTTTGCGCCTTGAAATCTGCGTGTGTGCCCCAGGTGGAGATGATGCTAATGAGGGGCGCCGGGTGGGGGTGGCTGAGAGCAGACGCCAGGCTCCTGCCAGCTTCAGATCCAATTCCAGACCCCAGACTGGCCTCTGAAGGCCCTGCTTGGCCGTGGCTGGCCTGAGGACGCGTCCCCTGGCCGGCAGCCCTGCAGGGGTGCTGGATGTGGGTGGGCCTGAGTGCTCTTTGCCAAGAAGAGCTGGCTCTGTGAAAGACACCTTCATGCACATTTAGTGGCCTAATTTGTGCCAATTAGATTAAGGTGTGAGTGCAGTCTGATGACAAACACGCTCAGATGAGAATCAGCTTAATGTGGCCTGGTTCTGATTACATTGTTTCTCCTTCAGCTGTTTGGAAGCAGCGGCTAAAGGTCAATTTATTCAGGTGGTTGGAGGCGCCTCTGCTGGTGACTGGCCCTCCTTAGAGCCGACAGGCCCGAGCTGCTGGAGGAGAAAGTGCTCTCCGCTGCTCGCTGCCCCTCCCAGGGCCTCTGCCGGGCCTGGAGTGAGGGTGGGTCTGAGTGCCCAGGGCTTCTGCACCAGAGCGGGTTCCGGGAGGTCCACCGGTGCTGGGAAACGATGCTGGCTGCAGGAAGGAACCCAGAAGCTTGGGCTTGTCCGGCCCTGCCCTGTGTCCCCAGCTTCCTCCGTCCTCTGAGTCCCATCCTTTCCCTGCAGAGCCGAGCCTGGGGGCTGGTGTGGGGGAGGTGCGCTGACATCGGACCTTCCCCACCAGCCCCTGACCCCGACCCTGCTCTCTGTGCAGTTTGGCCTCTGGGCCTCGTGGCTGGCCTGGCTGGCCGTCACCACGCTGGCCTTCCTGAAGGTGTACCACAACTCCCGCCAGGAGGACCTGCTGGACAGCCTGATCCACGAGAAGGAGCTGCTGCTGGCCCGGCCGTCCCCACGCACCTCCTTCCAGGAGGAGAAGAGCGCTGTCATTTAGACACAGTGCGGGCGGGCGGTGGGGGGAGCGGCCCGGACCTCCCTGCTACACTCGGGGGCACAGGGCTTGCCTGGGGAAGCAGCTGGGGGTCTCTGCCTGGGTCCCGGCCTCATGCAGCCCTGTGTGTGTCCCCTCGAACTGTGTGTAGTGAGGTGAGCGCCCCAGTGCCCACGCATGAGCCCGGTGGTGGACTGGGTGGGTGCTGGCTCCCTGGTGAGGATGGCGCAGAGAGACTGGGGCACCTCCAGGCCTCGTGCAGGGCCCTGTGCCTGCCCCGGAGGACCTGACCGGCTGGCCTGGGTGGGGGGCGTCCAGCTGGTCTCTAGCCCCGGCCCGATGCTATCTCCATGCCAGCTGGCCCAGGGGTGGCCAGAAGTCACTCACCCCTGAATGAATTCTGCATGAACTCTGCCATCCAGGCAGAGGCTGCGTGTGGGGAGGGGCTCACGGCACCTTCCAGCCTCACCCCGGGTTGGCCCCTCCCTGGCTGAGTCCCCCTCCTGGGTGGGTGCCGCAGGCCTGGGAGACCCCATGGCCTGCCTCGGGGAGGCTTCTGAGGCCCTGTGAGTTGGCCTTACTGTGTGTGGGTCCTCTGTGCTAGGCTGGGGGACGGGGAGGCGGGAACCTGGGCTCCACGAAGTGGGGGGCATCATCTGGTTGGGGGTTTGGGGGGCACACGTACTACACAGGATTGTACCCGGAGCCATGGCAGGGGGCTGTGTGGGTGAGTGTGCATGGGAGGGCGGGATTCTGTGAGTGCCTTTGTGCATGGGGGGGTGTGATGGTGTGAATATGTGAGTGATGAGAATGTGACAGTGTGCATGTGAGGTGTGAGTGTGTGACTGCATGTGAGGGTGTGACTGCATGTGAGGGTGTGACTGCATGGGAGGTGTGAGTGCATGTGAGGGTGTGACTGCATGTGAGGTGAGTGTGTGACCGAGTGTGCATGGCAGGTGTGAGTGTGAGTGCATGTGAGGTGTGACTGCATGTGTGGATGTGACTGCAGGTGTGACTGAGTGTGCATGTGAGGGTGTGAATGTGTATGGATGTGAGGATGTGACTGTGTGCATGTGAGGGTGTGACTGCATGTGATGTGTGAGTGTGTATGTGAGGGTGTGACTGCATGTGAAGTGTGAGTGTGCATGTGTGGGTGTGACTGCAGGTGTGACAGGGTGTGCATGTGAGGGTGTGACTGAGTGGATGTGAGGGCATAATTGTGAGTCTGCATGGGAGTGTGTGACTGCATGGATGTGAGTGTGTGTGAGTCCATGTGAGGGTGTGACTGCGTGTGAGGGCTTGATTGTGTGCATGGGAGTGTGTAGGATGTGAGTGTGTGAGGGTGCAAGTGTGTACCTATGACATGTGCACGTATGTGAGTGTGTGGGGAGGAGCATGCAGGTGTGTGTGTGCCGGGCAGGGGTGTCTGCACACTGTGTGTGAGGAGGAGCGTGCAGGTGTGTGTGCTGGGCAGGGGTGTCTGCACACAGTGTGTGAGGAGGAGCGTGCAGGTGTGTGTGCTGGGCAGGGGTGTCTGCACACAGTGTGTGAGGAGGAGCGTGCAGGTGTGTGTGCTGGGCAGGGGTGTCTGCACAGTGTGAGGAGGAGTGTGCAGGTGTGTGTGTGCTGGGCAGGGGTGTCTGCACACAGTGTGTGTGTGCAGCATGGGCATGGACAAGTGCAGGCGAATGTGCTTCTGCTGCATGTGAGCATGCACAAGCCTGCGAGTGTGCCTGTGTGTGTGAGGGGAGCCGTGGGCGCCATGTGGGCAGCCCCCCGCCCCTCCCATGGGCTTTTGTGCCCAGCATCCATCTGAGAGAGGAGGGAACTGCCTTCCCATTCTGCAGAGTTTGTGTGCCAAGGCCCCTAGGAGGCAGGTGGAGGAGCTGGGATGTGAACCTGGGACCCCAGGGTGGGGGGGTTGTTGACTGTCGACCCTGCCGTTCAGGAGAGCCCAGGGCCCATCTCCTCTGGAGGTTCCGGGGTCCTTGCTCTGAGGCAGAGGCCTCCCCACCTGGGGCTCCATGAGAGGCTGTCTGTTTCTTGGCTGAGTGCTGCTAAGTGCTCCCTGCCGCTGTGCCCACCCTCCTGGGGAGAGGCGAGGCCCCCGCTCCCCGTGTTGGCGACCCACCCTGTCCACCAGCAGTTGGCTTGTGCCTCTGGGTGGCTGGGAACCAGTCTCCTGGAGGCCGCAGGCCTGGGTCTGCATGGAGGGTCCTGGTGGGACCATCATCCTGCGTCCTGGGAGTGAGGCCAGCAGGTGACCGGTCAGGCTGTGGCAAGGGCAGGTGCCCATCACGGGGTGTCAAGGCCGGGGGGTGAGGCCCTGGCAGCTCAAGGGGGCTCTGACCTCGGGGCCCAGCTGAGTTTCCAGCTGGCAGCCAGATCCTCAGGGGAAGGGGTTTAGACAGAATCTGAGGCCCCAAAGCTGATGGGGTCCCCTGTCCCCCCTGCCAGCCCTGACCCACTGGACATGGGGACTCTTTCCAGCCTCCTTCCTGCCAGCCCTGACCCACTGGACATGGGGACTCTTTCCAGCCCCGAGAGCTACTTGCCTGTGTCTCCAGCAGAAGGTGGGGCGGCTCCTGCCTCCCCTCTGCCCAGCCCTGATCCAGGCCACAGCCATCTAGGGCCCCAGGAGGAGGGGCAGGAGGCAAGGGTGGCTTCTGGAACCCAAGGGCCGGCCCCGGTTGGGCCTGCCCTTGGTGGCTGCACTGCTGGATTCTAGGAGCTGGTCTGGGGCAGCCCCGTGGCCAGGGTGATGGACATCCATGCTGCACGCAGACACAGACCCGGCCTGGGCTGGGGGTTGCTGGAGCCCAGACACCATCACCCTGGAAAGGGGCAGCTGGGCCTGGGGCATGCTAGGTGGGGACTGGGGTCCTGGCCATGGGCTCTGCAGGGTCCCTTGGGGGGCTGGGCCTCTCCCAGGCAGGAAGGTGGGAAGTGGGGGTGTGACCCGGGACTCCAGAGGCAGATCCCCTGAGCTGCTTCTGAGCTGCCTTCGCTTTTCTCCTGGCTGTGTGACAATGGATGTCCCTGTTCTAATTCCGCTCGGGCTAAACTGAAGGAAAGATCCTTACGCTTGCATGTGTTCCTCAAAGTCGAAATAAAAACAGAAGCTGCCAAGTCTCCAGCAAGGATGACGAGGAGCGTGGGGCTCTCTCTGCCCTCTCCGCCTTCGGCATGGTTTCAACTGTCTGTCATTTATGGGTCACACACAGTGCCCCTGGGCTTTGGTCCTTTTGTTTCGGAAGCTTTTAAGAATTAGAGGTTGGCCTTCCCGAGGTTCTGCCCTCCTGCCTGTACATTTCCCAGTGGCTTCGAGTCTCACTGCTCCTCATGTGGCCTCCGCAGGCAGGAGGATCCGTTTAGAAGGATTTCTCAGGCGTGTGGTTCCATCTTTGAGCAGTATTTATTCAAAAACACCTGAGGTCGTATCGTGGGACCCTGCAAAGCCAGGCATGACCCTACATTGCCTTTGCAGTGGACAGGCAGCCACGGCTGGGGGAGATGGGCCTGGGCGGTGTCCCCGTCAGAACCAGGGCTAGAGGGGTGGCCCCAGCCTGCAGAGGCTGAGCCTGAGCCTGTGACTGGCTTGAGACCCAGCCTTCGGGGCCTCTGCTTCCGAATCCAGAACATGGGGCAGGAACCGGCCCATCCTGCTTCCTGGGGTGGGAGGACACGGGCTGGGCCTGGGTGGGCGGTGCTGTGGTGACTGGGGACAGCGTGATGCTGGAGGGCCTGGGTGCCTCCACCTGGTCCCTCCTGGGCCACTTCTGGAAACAGCCCCTTTCGTTGCCTCCACCCGAAACTCTGGGCTCCCTGGATTCCAAAGCTAGAAGCAACCCTGGAGTCCATGGCACCTGTTCCCTGGACCTGGGGTGGGGGGACACGCCCTGACAAAGGATGAAGACCCAGGGGCTTGGTAAGCCCCCCGAAGGCCTTCAGGAGACTGGGCGCTTCCAGGGACCCAGGACACCTGCTCTGCTCAGAGGCTGGGTCCTTAGCAAATCTGTTTTGGCCTCTGTTTCTATACAAACTCCAGACTGAAGGAGGCCCCGGTGCGTTTTAAAAGAACAGTGTCTCCCAGCTCGGTGATGGGACATACAGAGAGAAACCACTGGACGGGCCGTCCACTGTGCCCTCGCCTCTCAGGCCAGCCCCGAGGACGCTGGTCTGATTGTCCCTGGGCAGTTCTGCCTGGTGTCTGACGGTGGGCCTCCCTGCTTTGTTGGGCCCTCCCCCCATGTAGGGTCTGGAGGGGCCCCTGGTGTTTGTCACCCACAGGGCTCCCTTCAGCTCTGCAATGTGGCGACAAAGCCACAACCACAGACGGTTGCTGGGACCCACGGGCCTCAGCCGGTGGGTGGCGCTGGCTGGCCCTGGGCTCTGTTGGGTGTCCCCGGTCTGCAGAGCTGGGCACACATGGCTGTGTTCTGAAGACCGGGGGTGTTTGGACCCACAGAACTGAGCACAGATGGCCATGACCTGGAGGCCGGGAGTGTCCAGGCCCCTTGCTGTCCCCTTGGCTTCTATGTCTGAAGCCACCTCTGATGAGGAGTCCTCCCCTGGGGCCACTCCAGACTCATGGGGCTGAATAGGGGGTCAGACCTGGGCTCAGAGGATGATACCTCACCTCAAAGGGACCCACCTTGACAACCAGACCCTTCCCTCCCCATGGGGTTTCGAGGTCGAGGTCCACCCAGGCCCTCATAGCAGCGAAAGGCTGGGTTTGCCTCCTCTGAGCAGCCCCTTGGATGCAGGCAGTGTATCCTCCTCAAGACGGCATGTGTGGCCATGCCTGGGCCAGGCCCCAGCCGCTGCAGGGGTGCCTGCTGGGGCGAGGGAGGGGTCTTCGGGCGAGCCTGGGGAGCCCCAGAATGGGGGCCCCCAATGTTAGCAGTCAGACCCTCTTTCTAGTAAGATCTCACATGGACCCAACACAGGAGACCGGCGCTGTGCTGACGGTTGTGGCTGGCCGCCTGCTGTGCCTGTGTCCGCTCTCATGCCAGGGGGCCCCCTCTTCCCAGTCGGCCCCAGGCAGCAGCCCCTCCTGGCCCTCACAATTCACCAAGCAGCAGGGCCAGGGCTCAGGCTGTCTCGGAGCCCCGGGGTGCTGGGGCTTTCCCGGGAGCCTCGCCCATTCCCCGTCAGAGCCGCAGCAGGCCACGC